TGCCTTCTATGGAGTTTTTTCAGCGTTCTCATCATCAGAAGTCTAGCTGAAAAAAAAATTTAATCGAATTTGTGAATGCGAAAAAAGTTATCTTTTGCTGTGCAATAAAAAAAATCCAGTACCTTTGAATACTTAGAAATTTTCGACATAAAAGTGTAATTTGAATAAACCTTTTCGAGAATGTTTGCTTTTCTTCAATTGGTTAACACCCGATAACATACAACTCTAGTATATATAGATATATGATGATTAAGTTCTGCATGCCTACAATATCAGTATTTCGCATTTGTATAAGATTCAACAACGATGGCTACGGCTACATCCAATCAAAAGCTCGATTATCCGATAATCGTTCGAAAATTTATGCATCCTAGCTTTTTGGATGATATTATTAAGAATGTCAGCGATATGTTGGAGAAAATGAACGCTATCGACAGATATTTATTCCGTGAATATGCTGATTTTATAAGAGATGTGAAGAGGTTTAAAGAATCATTATTGAAATTTATTCTTGAATCAAAAATTCAATTGTCTGTTCTGAAAGATAATTTTCAAAAATCAAAGTATAAACAAGCAGATCAACGTCGAAAATTAGAATTTATCAAAGAAAGATTGGACAGAATACAAAAAGACACATTATTTGGTTACTTGACTGCATGTAATGGATTAATAAAAAGATCAATTGAACTGCATGAGAAATATGGATCAACACTATTTAAAGTTAAGTATATTGTTTTACACTTTTTGGGTTTCACAATCGCCGGAGCAGTAGCTGGATTCACTCTCGGTTTGGTTATACCGTTTTTTGGACAACTTGACGCTTGTGGTGGCCCAGGGATCGGTGCATTGATTGGCTTAGCTTCTGTGACATACAAGTTTATTGTTAACTGGAAAGATCAAGTGAAGAAGATTGAAGTTATACAAGAAAATTTAAAAGAAACACAACGTGCTTTAGAATATGTACTGAAAAATATGAGATCAGGCTACATAAAATTAGGAGAGGCTAAAGATGAACTACAGAATCAATCTAAGAACGACACATTTCAAGAAATCGATGATTTAGAAAATTATGTACTAGCAACATTAGATTCCTTCAATGTGCTAGAAGAAATTTTATCAAAACCTCAAACTCATGAATAAAAATACAATTTTATTATTTTGAAATAAATAAAGAACATATATTGCGTATTTTATATTTATGAAAGACTATTTCTATGCTTAATTTTACATAAATAAGTATTGAATAAAGGGTGGGTGTGGGTGTGGGTGTGGGTGTGGGTGTGGGTGTGGGTGTGAGTGTGGGTTTGGATATTATTCTTATATTTA